CATCGCCCATGACCATCTTCATCCACCCATGACCATCTTCATCCACCCATGACCATCTTCATCCACCCATGACCATCTTCATCCGCCCATGACCATCTTCATCCACCCATGACCATCTTCATCCACCCATGACCATCTTCATCCACCCATGACCATCTTCATCGCCCATGACCATCTTCATCCACCCATGACCATCTTCATCCACCCATGACCATCTTCATCCACCCATGACCATCTTCATCCACCCATGACCATCTTCATCCGCCCATGACCATCTTCATCCACCCATGACCATCTTCATCCACCCATGACCATCTTCATCCACCCATGACCATCTTCATCCACCCATGACCATCTTCATCCACCCATGACCATCTTCATCCACCCATGAGCATCTTCATCCGCCCATGACCATCTTCATCCACCCATGACCATCTTCATCCACCCATGACCATCTTCATCCGCCCATGACCATCTTCATCCACCCATGACCATCTTCATCCACCCATGACCATCTTCATCCACCCATGACCATCTTCATCCACCCATGACCATCTTCATCCGCCCATGACCATCTTCATCCGCCCACGCCCATCCCGTGCGCGGTGCGCCATCCCTCTGTATCTTCTTGCAGTTTGTGACATGTGTCGGTCCTAGCCCAGCGGACCCCCGCACCATCATTGCTGGTGAGCTGCTCTTTTCCCAGAGCCTGCTGATGCATGTGCCTCGTGTGGTAGCCCTTTGCGCCGTGTTGGTTCATCAGTGCTGGTTACATCGGGTAACTCCAGTGGGCCTTGGCATTGGACCGGCCTTTGTGAACCTGGTCAAAGTGTTCCCACTGCCGTGGGGAAACGGCAGGATGGGCAGGTCACAGGAGGCTGGGCTGGTCACAGTAGGATGGGCAGGTCACAGGAGGATGGAGCGCACTCGTTGTGTGGATGCAAAGCTGCAGGCATGCAAAGACCACTTGGTACTTTTGCCAGACATGGATACCAGCTCCAGCACAGCCTTCCGAGTCGGTGCTCCTCACACTCAGCTTCAACACATGCTCTTCTTGCCTTTCTCGAATAGGTGTTTCTTGGCTCACCTGCTCTCCTTCACGTGCCTTCATTTGTGCCACACCAACGCCGGCAATGCTGTCCATGCCCTCATGCGAGCGGTGTCCCTGCACGACTGCTAATCGCTCACCATTTCCTCCTATTCCTCCCTTCCCCCCTTGCCTGCAGGCGGTGGAGATGGCGCCGTGGCTGTGTTTGACTCGCGCATTCACAAGGCTGTTGCCCGAGTGTCCTTGGGGCAAGGTTGCGAGGTGAGGGGGAGGAGTGATGTGACGGGGGGGTGAGGTGAGAGGGGGGGTGAGGTAAGAGGGAGGGGTTGTGAAGTAAGAGGGAGGGATGTGAATTGAGTGGGAGGGTGTGAGGCAGGACGAGGGATGTGAGGAGAGTGGGTGCGGCGAGAGATCAGAGGGGGAGATCGGAGCCTTGAACGGTGTGCTGCTCGCCGCCCCTCTCGCATGCATTCTCCTCGCTGCACATTCTGCACCACTGTCAACTCCTCCCTCCCACCCCCATCTGCCCCAGGTGACATCAGCAGCCTTCAGCCCGTGCGGTCGCTTCTTCCATGCCGCCTGCTCTGCCAACTGCTGCTTCGTCTTTGACTCCCGCTGCCTCCCTCCTCCTCGTCCTGCCCTCCTTCCTCCGCCTCCTCACCATCTTCCCCCCTCTGCGCTCTCTTCCGCCTCTCCCACGGCCTGCCCGTGCCCTCACTGCAGCACTCGGTGCAGCATGCCGGGTGAGAGGAGTGGGAGGGGCAGGGGTAGGGGCGTGCTGTGTGCAGAATGGTGAATAATGCCCCCCATGCCCTCTGTGCAGCTCTCAGTGCAGCATGCAAGGTGGGAGACAAGGTTGGGGGATGTTATATGCGGTGACGGTGCTTGAGGTTTGAAGCATGCTGAATGGTTTATCGTGCATAGCATGGTGCCTGCTGCCCCTCTTTTCTACTCTTTTCCCACCCCATTCCAGTGATCTACCTTTTTCAAAACTGTCTACTTGGTTCTTTTCTGTGTAGATGTAATTCATTCAACGTGAAAGTGTACAATCAATCCTTCACAAGTCAAACATTTGCTATACAAATCCCTCAAAGCCCTGGCCCTCCCATTCCCCCTCCCCTTCCCCCCCTTCCCCAACACGCCGCCCCCAGGTCTGTGGACTGTGGGGACGAAGGGGTGAACGACGCCCGCTGGCTCTCAGCCTCGCCTGGCCTCGTGACAGGCAGTGGCAATGGCAGGTGGGCGAGTGACAGGCAGTGGCAATGGCAGGTGGGCGAGTGACAGGCAGTGGCAATGGCAGGTGGGCGAGTGACAGGCAGTGGCAATGGCAGGTGGGCGAGTGACAGGCAGTGGCAATGGCAGGTGGGCGAGTGACAGGCAGTGGCAATGGCAGGTGGGCGAGTGACAGGCAGTGGCAATGGCAGGTGGGCGAGTGACAGGCAGTGGCAATGGCAGGTAGGCGAGTGACAGGCAGTGGCAATGGCAGGTGGGCGAGTGACAGGCAGTGGCAATGGCAGGTGGGCGAGTGACAGGCAGTGGCAATGGCAGGTGGGCGAGTGACAGGCAGTGGCAATGGCAGGTGGGGCGAAGCCAGGTGGGATCGTCTGGGTCATGATTTTCAGTGGTCACCTGTCTGAACCCTTTCGTGAGTCGTACTTCACTTGTGTCCGTCACCTGTGTTGTTCAGTCCTCACCTTTCATATCTTTACTGCTGCTCATTTTCTTCGCTTTCCAATTTTCTTTAATGGCAGCATGGCTGTATGGGATGTGACTCTAGCTGACCCCCTCACTGCCGTCTCCTTTGCACATACTCGATCAATAAATACTGTAAGCATTCTAATGCATGAAATATGTAAGCGCTTTCTAATACGCCTTTGCAAGCTAATATCTAACAGCATAAGCCCTTGGATAAATGAACAGTGTAAGCTGCTCAATTTGTCAACGCTTAAATCATCTAAAACACTCAGAACGTCTCTTTGCATTTGCATGAGCAATCTCCTGATTTGCTCTTCCGCGTAGGTGGCGGTGGCACCTGATGATGCCTGCATTGCCACGGGTGGCGACGACCAGAAAGTGGTGAGCATGCCTTTCCTGGTCCGCATGGATGTGCCTCCAGACAGAGGTGCTCGCACATCCATGCGGTGTGTGTACACATACCGTACACAGGCACATATACTACTTGTGCATGCACGCCCACACTCATGGACGCACACACCAACAACACGTGCGCAGTCACGCACGCACTTACTGTGACAAACCTCTCTCACTTCAAATGCACGCAACGATTCCAGCCCAACTCCCTCTGGCTTAGTTGCAGTTTCCTTGGCGAAGATAGAAAACGCATATCTGACTCGTCATGAAGGGTACAATGATAATTCTCTCCTTCGACATTCTGCACCTCAATCAAGAGCATGTAGTGTTCCCATCTCCATCTGTTACTCTACCGCCCTTTCCCTCGTCAGGTCCTATATCTGTCGCCGTTGACTGCCTCTCCAGCCTCAACTCCTTGGAAGCTTACACACCCCTTGCGCTTGTCGCCCTTGTTACAATAGTCGTCATACAGAAAACAGTCATGTTATCGTTTTCCCACGTATACGGGACCCAAATGCCAGTTTTTTTTACAGGTGCATATTTAAAGTCCCTAATGTCAAACATGTTTATTGTCATGTTTGTATAGACTGTATAGGGTCATCTCTTAGAGAGTACACGACTTAGGTATATCTGTGTGTACTCTGTTGGAATATCTCAAAGGACTTAAGCGTTTCTGAAGTGTAACACTACACTCGAGGAAGATTACAGGGGGGGTACGCGAGCCAACGGAGGTTACACGAGGGGGCAGACAAAGAACGCGAAGGAACTCGAAAGGTCGCAACTGGAGGTTGCGACTGACAGTTACAACATCGCGGATGGTAACCGAAGCGGCAATTGAGTCGCCTGTGCGACTCGATAACCGCTCCTGCAACTGTATTCTACAACTCCTTTCTTATTTCATATATATTGCTGTATGCTTGTTTCTTTAATCATCACTTGTTCTCATATACTAGTACAAGGGTTCAACTGCCTCAACTTCCGCTGCACTACTCAAGTCTCAATCTTCAACTGGGACTTAGTCTCTGAAAAAGATCCTAAGGGCATTTCTCAGCCCAACATACTCTCACTCTATCAATAACACTTTTCTGATTTTGATATGGTATCACGCGTAGGTTAGGATCCCCCCCCCTACCGCTTCCGCTCGCCCCTCCTAGCCCCGTCGTGCCCCTAGCCCCGTTGCGACCCCCCTAGCCCCGTCGCGCCCCTTCCTGGGCCCCGTCGCGCCCCTTCCTGGGCCCTTGTAGCGCCCCTCCTGGGCCCCGTCGCGCCCCTCCCAGGCCCCGTCACGTCCCTCCTGGGCCCCGTCGCGCCCCTCCTCGGTCCCGTAGCGCCCCTCCTGGGCCCCGTCGCGCCCTTCCTGGGCCCTGTAGTGCCCCTCCCAGGCCCCGTCGCGCCTCTCCTAGGCCCCGTAGCGCCCCTCCTGGGCCCCGTAGCGCCCCTCCTGGGCCCCGTCGCGCCCTTCCTGGGCCCTGTAGTGCCCCTCCCAGGCCCCGTCGCGCCTCTCCTAGGCCCCGTAGCGCCCCTCCTGGGCCCCGTACCCCCTCCTGGGCCCCGTCGCGCCCTTCCTGGGCCCTGTAGCGCCCCTCCTGGGCTCAGTCGCGCCCCTCCCAGGCCTCGTCGCGCCCCTCCTGGGCCCCGTAGCGCCCCTCCTGGGTTCCGTCGCGCCCCTCCTGGGCCCCGTAGTGCCCCCCCCTGGGCCTCGTCGCGCCCTCCCAGGCCCCGTCGCGCCCCTCCTGGGCCCTGTAGCGCCCCTCCTGGGCCCCGTCGCGCCCCTCCTGGGTCCCGTAGCGCCCCTCCTGGGTTCCGTCGCGCCCCTCCTGGGCCCCGTAGTGCCCCCCCCTGGGCCTCGTCGCGCCCCTCCTGGGCCCCGTAGCGCCCCTCCTGGGCCGCGTCGAGCCCCCCCCCCCCCCCCCCCTCCTGGGCCCCGTCACGCCTTCCGGCCCCGTCGCACCCGCCCGGCCCCGTCGCACCTGCCCGGCCCCGTCGCATCAGCCCGGCCCCGTAGCGCCCGCCCGGCCCCGTCGCACCCGCCCGGCCCCGTCGCCCCTGCCCGGCCCCGTCGCAGCCGCCCGGCCCCGTCGCACCCGTCCGGCCCCGTCGCACCGGCCCGGCCCCGACGCACCTGCCCGGCCCCGTCGCACCGGCCCGGCCCCGACGCACCTGCCCGGCCCCGCCGCACCGGCCCGGCCCCGTCGCACCAGCCCGGCCCCGACGCACCCGCCCGGCCTCGTCGCACCGGCCCGGCCCCGTCGCACCCGCCCGGCCCCGTTGCACCGGCCCGGCCCCTGCGCTCGTCCCTGCCCCGGCCCCGGTCCTCCTCACTGGTACGGTTTCCCCCCCCCCCGCCCTGCACTGCCCTGCACCGTACTGCACCGCATTGTACCGCACGGCACCGCACTCCACCTTGCTGCACTGCCCTGCACCGCACTGCGCTGTTCCTGATGGCGGCGGAGCTTCGCTTCGACGCTGAAGGCCAGCCCCTGGAGTTCGAGGCGTGGCTTGCCGACCTCCGCCGTCAACTCACTGGCCAGCGGCAGGATGGCGAACCGCTTTCCGCACACCTTGACGGTACGCTCCCCTGCCCGGACCCCCCTGCTATTTTGCCCGCTGACTCCACCCCCACCGAGCGCGAGTCTACTGCTGCCACTGCCAGTGCGCGCTCTGTCTGGCTTTCTCGCGATGCTGTCGCCCAGCTTGCCATTAGCAACGCCCTTCCCCCGTCCGAGCGCCCTCGCTTTAGGTCCCTCACCACTGCTCAGGCATACTTAGATGCGGTCATCCAGCGCTATTCCACTCCTCCGGCTGCCTCGGTGGGTCGCCTGATCCTCCCGATCCTCTTTCCTGACCTTGCATCCTTCCCTACTGTCTCTGACCTTGCTGCCCACCTGCGCTCGATAGATGAGACCTGGCGCGCTGCCTGCACTGACGCACAGCTTAGAGCCCACCAGCCGCCCATTACCTCTACCCTCTACCTGCTTGCCACCCGCCTCCCTGACCGCCTTGCTGTCAGCCGCGACCGCTTCCTTAGCATTCACCCCGCCGACCTCACCCTCACTGACTTTGTAGACACCCTGACGGTGATAGAGACCCGTCACCGCTCCATCGCCCAGGCGAGCGGTGCCGTGCCGGTCCCTATCTTTCAGGGTTGTGGCCCCGCTCAGTGTACCTTCTCCGACGGCTCTGCCGCAGTGGCTGAGACTGCTGCTACCGCGGGGGTGCGGGAGGGGGTAGTGGTGGGGTCGGGTCGTCTGGTGCTGGAGCGGACGAGGGGACCCTGCCCAGTCCAGCTGAGCCGCCGCCCCTGCAGTTGCAGCAGCCGCAGCAGTTGCCGCAGTCGCAGCCTTTGCAGCAGCCGCAGCAGCCGTCGCAGACACGGCAGACGAGTGTCCTCCCGCCCGGGTGGCCCGGCGCTGGCGGTGGCCGGGCGCGTGGTGGTGTGTCGAGTGGTGGCTCTGGCGGCGGACGTTGTCAGTACCAGATCCAGACCGGTCCTCGCCGCGGCTACATTTGCGGTAAGATCGGTCACTCCACTCCCCGCTGTTTTCGTCGCCTGGACGACCTCTTTCGTCAGCGCTTCGGCCCGTCGCCAGACCTCCCGGACTGGCACATCATGCTTAGACGTAGTATTCCGATTTTTGACTTAGACATGGATGCCATTGTTGCTACTCTGCATGTGATGTATGCTGATGACTCTAGTGTGCTTCCAGCTTATTACTCACTGTTGCCTAGCGTAGGTGTGTCTAGCGTAGCCTCCCCTGCTGCGTCAGGCGTAGGATCCTCTGCTTTGTGTAGTCTTGGTGCTTCCACCGTCGTTCCGACGCCAGACGCCTCTGCTTCGCTTTCCTTCACCTTGGACTCTGGCGCTTCTCGGTTTTCTTCCATGACTCCACCACCCTGACGCCGCTTCCTGTTCCTGCTGCTGTCTCTCTTGCTGACCCCTTTGGTGGTCCGGTAGTCGCCCGCAGTTCCACCACCCTTCCCTGTCCAGCAGTTCCTTCGGGCTCTCTCACAGGTCTGCATATCCCCTCGTTCTCCAGGAACCTAGTTGGTGTCGGCTGCCTCCAGGACCTTGGCGTCACCACTACGTTCCCTGGCCACGAGCGGTATGCTGTCTGTACCGAGGCCGCCACTGGTGCCCCCTGTCCACGTTCCCCCGGGACCCGGTGTCCGGCCTGTTCACTCTGGATACCGTGACCCCCCGGCTGGGGCCCCCCCTCAGGTGGCTGCGTCTACCCAGGTTGCTGCTGCCTGCTCCTGTCGGTCCCTCACTCACCCGACTCTCCTTTGGCACCACCGCCTAGGTCACCCTGCGCTCCCGCATCTGCGTCACATGTCCCAGCACGGTCTTGTCCTTGGTCTCCCCGGTTCTCTCCCCGCGTTTCCCTCCTCCCCCCCCCCTTGCACGCCCTGTGTCGAGGGTCGGCTTCGCCGTGCCCCTCACTCCTCCTCTTTTCCCCCTACCGCCGCGCCGCTGCAGACCCTGCACCTGGACGTCTGGGGCCCCGCCCCCGTCTCTGGGCCGCGTCGAGAGCGCTACTTCCTTGTGCTTGTCGACGACTTCACTCGTTACACCACTGTCTTTCCCCTGGAGCGCAAGGCCGACGTGCCTGGCGCTCTCATCCCCTGGCTTGTCTCTGCGCGTGTCCACCGCGGTCTCCCTGTCTTGCGTCTTCACTCAGACCGTGGTGGCGAGTTTGCCTCAGGTGTCCTTGGTCGCTTTTGTCGTGCGGAGGGCATCACCCAGACGTTCACCCTACCGGACTCCCCACAGCAGAATGGGGTCGCTGAGCGACGCATCGGTTTGGTCATGAAGGTGGCTCGCACCTCCATGATCCATGCCGGTGCACCCCATTTTCTGTGGCCGTACGCTTCTCACTAGCTTAACTTGTGGCCGCACCCTCAGCAGCCGCAGGTTTCGCCGACCCGTCTTTGGACTGGGTCTCCTAGTGACGCGTCTGCGTTCCACGTCTGGGGCTGCCTTGCTCACGTTCGTGCCTCCGGCACGGACAAGCTCACTGCTCGCACCCTTCCCTGCGTCTTCCTCGGTTTTCCCCTTGACGCGTCCGACTGGCACTTTTACCACCCGCCGTCTCACCGCTTCTTTCACTCTCGCGACGTCACCTTTGACGAGTCCGTTTCCTACTACCGTCGCTTCCCCCACCGTGGTCCCCCTGTTACCCCCCCTGTTCCTGGTCACTCCTTCCCCGGTAGTCACTGCCCCTCCTCCTCCTCCTCCCCGTCCTGCCCCCTCTGGTGTGTCCCACGTCACCCCCCTTCCATCGGCGGACCCGGTTGAGGAGTCCTCTGACTCTGGTGGCCCTCCTGTGCAGTCCTCGCCGGCTGCCCCTCCCCGGTGTCCCCTCCCCAGTCCCCTCCTCCACCGCCTCTGCCGCCGCTGCAGCCGTCGTTGTCGCTGCCGCCGCCGCCGCCACCGCCGTCGCGGCCCCCGTTCGCTGACTCTGGGGGTGCTCGTCCCGGTCGCCCTGGGGGTGGCCCCTCTGGGGGTGCTGGTGTGGAGAGTGCCGGTGGTAGCCGAGGAGCAGCTTGCGGTCCAGGTGTCGCCGTTGCGCTGCCGCAGCAGCAGTCCCCGCCGGTGTCAGCCCTTCGCCTG